TTCCTTTTCCCTATACTATTTCTCTCTATCTTCACATGTACCCCTCTTATATCTTTACTTGTCTCTTACTTTTGTCTGAGATAATTATATACAACTGACCTAACATTGCCTTAAAATGTGTAAACAACTGGCACTGCTAAAGGATGTGGTCAGACGATAATAGGTGCAAAAGGATAATTCGATAGAGCTAGAGAAAAAGACATATGAGGCCCATGCATAATCGCAGGGAAATGGATGGGGCATGTTCTATTAACAAAAGAAATGTTTGGCGGTCTTAGCCTTGTTATGTCTCTTATATTTTTCGTGTAAAACAAAAATCTACCAGGGAGCACAGAGATACAGTGCTGTAGTGTATGATAGATACACTTCATGTTACTATGTTGCAGTAAGGGGGTGCAAAGATTGTTAGCTTACTATTATTGCAAATACGATACAATACTGTTTTGCACCGTGTAACAATATATTACAATGTTTTGATGCATCATGTTTTCAGTGTACTGTTCTGCCTTGGAATAAATAAAGAATTTAAAAAAAATAAAATAATTACTTAAATATACATGTAGATTTTTTATATATAAGCATTTATGTTATTTAAATTCTAGGTGTATACTAATGTAATCTTTTATGTAATTATATGTATTTATCTATATATATATATATATATATATATATATATTCGGTTATTTGTATTTTATATATAGATAGATATATATAGAATGTCATTCTAAGTGTATTTTGTTACCAATATATATATATATATTAATAACAAAATACAGTTAGAATGAAATTACATATGAATATATAATTTATATTAAATTTTGTTTCAATATTTTATTTATTTTATTTATTATTGTAATTACACGTGTATATATATAATATATGTGTATATATCTATTATATATATAATATATATACATTTTATATATATGTAACGTCATTCTAAGTGTATTTTAATACTAATATATGTACTTATATTAATATTAAAATACACTACATATACACTATATATATATATATATTTTTTTATTATTTATTTATTTTTGTTTGTTTTAAAGGTTTTTATTGAGATTCTGCACATTCACAATAAGTTGTCGACAGAGAAAGGTCCAATGTACATAACAGAACAGTGGCAATGTATGACGATACAGTGGGTAGCATTCAAATTGCATCTCAGGACAGTGTTACAGCAGGAAAGCGTGTTTTGCGAATTCTAGTTCTTTGTAGGGCACAGGGTCTGGCTATGATCGGGTCAGTGGAGTCTCCGGTACCCCTCCTTGGTTGTGTATTGTAGTGTAGGTAAGAAATGACATCTGGAGGTACCTTGACTACCGTGAAAGTTTCCCTTGTGTCTGAGTGTGTGGAGGGGGTGTAGGGGGAGAGTGGTACTTGATGCACCAGGTAGCGGGGGGTTAAGCCTAGTTAGGTCCATGGGTCATCAGTTATATTAAGCCGTTTGTAAGATAGTCACGCCAGGGTTGCCAGACGGTTTTGTAGTGGAGAAATGTACCTGCTAGGGAGTGGCAGGTTTCCTCCAGGCCTCTCATCGTTTCGACTTTTTGTATCCATTCCCGAATGGAGGGAGCATTGGGGTGTTTCCACAGCACAGGTATGAGTTGGTTCGCTGCCGATATTAGGGGAATTAGGAGGTCTGTCGTCAGTTTAGGTATGTTTCGGGGGGGGGGGATTAGAAAGATAAAGAGCTCAGGGGTGAGTGGAATATGGGTGTTCAGGGCTGATTGTAGTATTCCATGGAGGCGTCTCCAATAGCGGTTGATTACTGGGCAACTCCACCATATATGTGCTGTGTTGCCTTCAGGTGTATGGCATCTCCAGCAGTGGGGTGAGTGGGAGGGAAAGAGGGATTTTAGCTTTATCGGGGTATAATGCCATCTCGCTATTCTTTTGTAGTTACTCTCCTGGATTGTGGTGTTTCTAGCTGATCTGTGAATTTGTTTAAAGATAGTACGCCATGTTTCAGGTGTGAGTGAGATGTTTAGTTCTTTTTCCCATGACAAAGTGAACACCGGTGGGTGGTGGGGTTGTGTCTTTGCAATTGTTGTATACATCACTGAGATGAGTTTTTTCTTCACGGTGTGGGTTTTGCACATTTGTTCAAATTGTGTATGTGTGTGGAATGTTTCGTGGGCTAGCGGGCCTGCGTGTACAAAGTGGGTGAGCTGTCGATTTTGGAGAAGTTGTATCGCATTCTGCCTATCCGTGATGGCATGCAGAGGTTTGATTTGGCGACTCGTGTCGTCAATGATGGTTTCTAGTGGGAGATAGGCTGAGTCATGGTAATGTTTGAATGCCTTACCATCCTCTCCCGGTTGAAATATGGGGTTGCGGGTGAGTGGGTACAGTGGTGAAGTGGGTAAGGCATGGGTAAGGGGTTATCGATTGATGTGTTCTCAGTTTTGCCCACATTCGTAGGGTTGGTGAGATGGTAGGATGGGGTGCGTGTAGTAAGAATGACTGTCCGGATTTGTGCCATGGTATTGTGTAGATGGGTGCTCTGAGGAAGGAATCCTCTACATTAATCCATTGTGTAGCGGAGTATGGATGTGTCCAGTCATACAATCTAGTCAGGAGGATAGCTTGGTGATATCTCTCTATGTCGGGGAGGCCCAGACCTCCTTCATCTTTTGATCTCGTGAGGAGAGAGTATGCGAGCTGTGGGTTTTTGTGCGCCCAAATGTATGTTGTAAGTGTCTTTCGAACCTGCGCAAACCATGACTTCGGCAGCATGATTGGCAAATACCTGCAGGGCATACAGTATTCTTGGAAGAACATTCATTTTTAGGATGTTCAGCCTGCAGAACCAACCAAATTGAGGTTTGTTCCAGGCATGGAGATCCGAGTTTATGCTCTTCAGCAAGTCCGGGAAGTTGCTCCCGAACAGGTGGGATGCCTCCTTGGTTAAGTGGATTTCTAGGTATTTTATACAGTTGGGAGCCCAGATAAATGGGTAGTCTTGTTGTAGAGTGGCCTTGTCTTGAGGGGTAACGTGTAGTGACAATATCTCGCATTTACTGAGATTTGCCTTGAAATTGGAAATCTTGCTGTATGAGTCCATCTCGGCCATCAGGTGAGGTATTGATGCTATGGGATCTGAAATTGTGAAGAGCATGTCGTCTGCAAATGCTGCAATCTTGTGCTCTGTCTTGCCTGCCTTGATGCCTCTAATGTGAGTGTTATCCCTGATACCCTGAAGGAAGGGCTCTAGGACCAAGACGAACAGTAGAGGTGATAGGGGGCATCCCTGCCTAGTGCCGCTAGTTATTTTTACTGACTGACAGTTGACCGTTTACGCGAATATTCGCCGTGGGTTGCGAGTATATTGCGTTAAACCATTTTAGCCAGTTTGGGCCAAATCCCAGGTATTGTAGGGTGTGAGATAGCAGGGTCCAGTCTACCCTGTCAAACGCTTTTTCTGCATCAATGGACAAGAGTAGACTGGGACAGTCCTCTCTCGTAGCTTTGTGTATAAGGTTCAGTAGTTTCGTGGTGTTGTGTTTGGCTTCTCTACTTGGGATGAAACCCGACTGATCAGCATGTATCAGTCCTGGTAATAATGGGCGGAGTCTATTAGCTAGAATTTTTGTGAACAACTTCAGGTCTATGTTTATCAAAGAGATCGGTCTGTAGCTGCCGCATTGGGTCAGATCCTTCCCAGGCTTGGGAAGTAGTGTGATTTTTGCGTTTAAGGCTTGTGGGGGTAGGGTGTTTGCGTTAAGTAGTGCGTTAAAAGAGTTTTGAAAGTGAGGTACTAATAAGGAAGCAAATGTTTTGTAGTATTTGGCTGTCAGCCCGTCAGGGCCTGGGCTCTTCCCTAGTGGTAGGTGTTTTATCGCTTGTAGACATTCGTCTTGTGAGATGGGTTGCTCTAGCGAGTCCCGTATATTATGTGGCAGGGTATTGTGTATCCTGTGGGAGAGAAATTCTTGAATGTCTGCTGCATCTGGAGGAGTCTGTCTCAGGTTGTATATAGAGGAGTAAAATTCTTTAAATTCTTTGAGAATGTCTGTCATTGAGTGTGATAGTGTTCCCTCTTTGTTTCGAATGGCTGCAATAAATGTGTGTTCCCTTTGCTTCTTTAAGGCGTGGGCCAGAAGGCGTCCACACTTACCCCCTTGTGCATAGTATGTGCTTCTCGTTTTGGCTAAGGCGTGTTCAGTGTTGACGTTAAGGATCGTGTTTAGCTCAGTCCTCTTCTCTACCAGTGCCTTGTATGTGGCGAGATTGAGGTCGTTTTTATGTGTCTCCTCCAAGTTCCTGATTTCCTTGGTGAGACTTAGTGTGCGAGATTCCCTTTGTTTCTTGAGTTATATATATATTTTATATATACATATATACACATAATTTTTTATTTTTTTTTAATAAATTCTTTATTTTGAAAGGTTTGTTTGTCATGGGGTGGGGGTACAGCAGAAGAACCGAGGAGTTAGCGTTATGACATGCAAGATACATTCAACTGGGTTTACAGTGATCAAGCATTGCATACACATATACCAGATATCTCTTAGAAAACTCAACTTGGGTGAAGCGTAACTAGGTCATTTCTACATTCTCGTCGAAGGCTGTGGTTGGAGTACCGTGTCACTTGGTTGTAATGATGGCATATGTATTTCCTCGATTTTGTGTCTGTTCGATTGGTTCCGTATCAGGCTGGTTTCAGGATATGCCTTTTTTGGTGGCTAGGGTGTTTGGAGATCAAGTGACTTGGTGGACGTGGTAGGACATGGTGCGTCCATTACGGTACTCTTGGCCTCTTGAGGTCTCTGGTGCAGTCAGCCCAGGGAGATGGGGGAGTTTACAAGGGTGGGGGGTAGTGCGTCTTTCAGTATCTTATTGTGTGTGTCTTGGCTTATATTCGTGTGAGCGATTTTGTGGTGTGGGGGGGTTTGGGGTTTTTGGGTAGAGGGGCGAGGGGGTGTGGTATGGTATGTTCTAAGGAAATTGGGTGGTGAAAATTTGCGGTTCATCCACGTAGTATCGAGCCTTTATCTGGGTGTTGTGTCGGGTAATTGTGCTGTGGTTGTGGTGTTCTGGCTTGCAGTGTTTAGGTCTTTGGCTCGGTACTTGCCGTTGTTGTCGGTGTGGTGGGGTTGTGGGTCTCGACTGTATCTGTTTTGCAGGGTCGGGATTGTTATGTCGGGGATGGGTTGAGTGGCCTTGACCTGTGTGAGTAGAAGAGCTGGTAGTGTGTGTGGGGTGAATTTTTTGTTGGGATGGTGTTGCTTGAGGGGGGGTCTAGGATTGCGTGTTCGGGGATGTGGGTGTGAAAGAGTGGTGGGTGTGAGATATTGGCAGGAGGGCTGAGGAGTTGTCTGGTGAGAGCGGTGTGGGGAATGGTTGTGGGTCTGGTTTGTGAGATGGTTATTTTCGGTGGACCGTGTGGATGTGGATGGGCTCGTTCGTCTGGTTTGGGATATAATCGGGGTTTTCCCCGAAGTGTGTTGGGATGGTGGTGGGTCTCGTCAGTTCATGGGTTGGACATGGCTAGTGGGAACTCGTAGAGCCACGGGTCCCAGATTTTATCGAAGGTGTTTGTGGAGTCGTGTACTATTGCGGACAATTTATCAATTTTTCTGGTTTCTTCTATTTTGCGTTTCACTGTTTGTATGGTTGGTACGTCTGGTTTGCTCCAGGCTTCTGCTATAGCCCTCCTAGTTGCTAAGGCGATTTTAGCTATCAGCTTGTTTTGGCATCTGGGGGTGTTTTCTAGGGGTTTGGAGAGGAGCCATGTCCATGGGTCCATTGGGATATTAGTATGTAGTACTTTGGATGTCAGTTGTGTGATTTGGAGCCATAGTGAGGCTATTTGTGGGCATTCCCACCAAGTGTGAATGTATGTGCCTTTTCCTCCACATTGTTTCCAGCATAGGTCAGTGTTGGCTATGCCCATCTGTTTGAGTCGAAGAGGGGTGAGGTACCAACGCATCAGTGTTTTGTATGCTTGCTCCTTGTGGTTTACACATATGGAGACCGATGCTGTGGCTTCCCATATGTGTCCCCAGTCTGAGGGGTGGTTCGGGGGCCCCAGGTCCCTCTCCCAAGCCGACACGTATGTGAGTGATAATTTTTATTTTTAAACATTTTTAATTAATTTATTTTACACTTCCCACAAGCAGGGGGACTGTCTGACATTTCAGACAGTCCCCCTGCTGGCAGATCCACAGCCAGCTTTGAGAGCGATCATATGGCCCCTGGGGGCCTCATTTGCCGGGGGAGGGCTGCCTGGGCTGTCAGGCAGCCCTCCAGAAGAGGATCGCGGTGGAGGTGAGTACCTCCTATCTCCTGGGGCTGCAAGCCGTTACGGCGTTCTATGCCGCTGCAACAGCTTTAAAGCCCTTTTAATGCGGGATTGCACAGAATGCCGTAACGGCGTTAAGGGGTTAAATATAGTCTCCTCCTTTACTTTGTTGATTCCCTTTATGTATTTAAAGGGACACTATAGTCACCCAGACCACTTCAGCTCAATGAAGTGGTCTGGGTGCCAGGTCCCCCAGGTTTTAACCCTTCATATGTAAACATAGCAGTTTCAGAGAAACTGCTATGTTTACATAGCAGGGTTAATCCAACCTCTAGTGGCTGTCTTCCTGACAGCCGCTAGAGGCGCTTCTGTGATGCTGGATGCGAAATTCTCATCCAGCGTGCAGAACGTCCATAGGAAAGCATCTTGCCGCGCATGCGAATTCCGCTCCACTCGGGAGCTGATATCGGCGGAGGAGGAGAGGTCACCAGCGCCGAGGGAGCCCGGCGCTGGATAAAGGTAAGTGGCTGAAGGGGTTTTAACCCCTTCAGCGCCAAGGGAGGGGGGCCCTGAGGGTGGTGGGGACCTAAGGATGCTATAGTGTCAGGAAAGCGATTTTGGTTTCCTTACACTATAGTGATTCTTTAAATGTTTCTATCATATCTCCTTGTCTCATCTTTCTTCCAAGCAACTCTCCATGGTAGGAAACTGGTGGGTGGGCTTAGAAGTGTAAATTTTGCGTGTGTCGGTCAGTTTGTGTGTGTGTGTGTGTGTCTGTGAATGTATGTCAGTATATGTCTGTGCGTGTCAGTATGTCTGTCAGTTTGTGTGTGTGTGTGTGTGTCAGTATATGTCTGTATGTCAGTATGTCTGTCAGTTTTTATATTTGTCTGTGAATGTCTGTCAGGGGGGCAGGATCCAGACGGCCCTGCAAGCATGCAACCCCACAGGTGTCTCCAAAACACATACAACACCACAGCCAGCCTCTACATACACACACGTACATACAGACAAACAAACAACACCATGTCCCTTTTTCATCTAGCGTTTCACTTATAGGAACACAA